TTTCCTATCCAAGATATCAGGTTCAGATATCACATTGATTTGGAAGATATTGCCAGGCCACCAAATTAATGAAAGGTTCAGGCTGTAACATCAGTTTCTAATGAAAGTCCTTAACAAGCAAAGAAAGATGGAGTGTTACTACTAAACCACCCAGAATCTCAGCGCAGGCGTTGTTGAACGGAAACTTTGCTAAGTCTTGCTGTTGAAGTCCTAGGTTGTAAAATCAACAGCTGAATTCATTTCTCATCTGACTCCACTAAGTCAAGTGAATTGCATCATACAATTTCAGCCTGACTGACTTCACATACATCCTAAGTTTAATTAGTACACGTACTGTATTTTTAGTGTATATACCGAGGCTGCTAACCTGAAAAACACAACTTGTAAAGTGGGTGAATCGTGACCGAATTCCCCACCTCTTCACCGGGAACGCCGAACGATTTCCGTTCTGCTGCTTTGAGCGCTTCGGACTGTTCTTCCTGAACACCTTGACGGAAGGAGCAGCCAACGCCGCAGTCGGCAGCAACGCCACGAGCTCCCTGCGTGCCGAGCTGCTCCCCAGCGGAGGGATGCGTCTCGCACGAGCGAGGAAACCTGCGCTGTTCCACCCGGGAGAGGGCACTGTTTCACCTGGCCGCGGACCGCACACGGACACCGCTGGAAGGAACGGGGAAGTTGGGACTGCAGCCGAGAACTCGGCCGACTCGTACGACCGGTAGTTACTTTAACGATAGCGCTAATCTTCGGAATGAGTTGAGTCACCCGGACGCTGCCACAACAGGAACACTATATGACAGTCTGTAAACACGCAGGGTAAGCTTATTTTTGTGCGTCTGAAACCTACTAAGTGATCCACAGGTAAATAAAGCAGCTCCTGGACTGTAGCTGATGACTTTTAGTTGCTGATGACTTTTTTTTGATAAAGCATAACATAAATAAGCATCTGACCATTTAAATATGAAATTAATTGCATGTAATAGTAACACGACCTCTGAGGTTAATCCTTTGATGGATGCCTCTTGAAGACAAAGTAAGAGTACAAAATATGTTACAGTTTCAGTCCCTCTTTCTAAAATGTCTAAATGTGGACCCCCATCCCTGGAGGCATTCGAGGCCAGGCTGGATGTGGCTCTGGGCAGCCTGCTCTGGTGGTTGGTGACCCTTGCACATAGCAAGGAGGTTGAAATTAGATGATCGTTGTGGTCCTTTTCAACCCAGACCATACTATGATTCTATGAAATGGCACTACGGGTCTCTTGAGACAGCTCTCTCCTCCCTTAAGAAATCCCCCAGCAGCAATGTGAGAAGACCAAACTTGACATTTCTGATTTCTCTAAAAGAAAGAGGCCACGATTGGGTGGGGAGAAGCCTTGTTATGCAAGACATAACAGAGCAAAAGAAGAAAAAAAAATGTTGCATGCTGGAAAGTTATCATTTCAGAAATTATTCCATTATTTTCACAGGGAACAACCTCAGAAATTCCGAATTCTTGGATAATTCTAACAGAAAGATATCCTACTGAGATGAACCGAATAAAATATGGAATATATTGAAATACAAAAAAAAGAAAATCACCAATAATCTTAACTCGAAGGACAGCAATTTAATCATACTTAGTGCTGTTGTAAGCAACTTGGAGTCCTCAGGCACCGCACTGGGTTGAGGGGCATCCAGTCTCAGACAGAGGAACCATGTATGCCATGACTGCCCTATGTCTGCAGTAAGCCCAACATGCCCACATCATTTGTGCGTGAACTTTTCCATGAAAATGTAGGGACATTTCTGACATAAAGGTTGTAGGACAGATAATATTTCCCATACTACTTGTGAAACTATATATTGTTTAGGCTGTTAGGCTATCCTTGTATCAGCTAATGTATGCTGGCTGCCCTTTCCTAATGAGAGCTTAGGCTGATGCCTTAAATCATTGACCTTGGTTTATAAGCACTGATCCTACGAACTTCTGCAATAACACTGTGTAGCTACACCTTCATTTAATACACCATATCTCATGCTCCCACTTCCAGAAGTATTTCGAAGCACTGTGCCAAACATACTCAATGCATGGATCTTTAGGGATGTACCTCTCAGTCTGTTATTTCTGATCAAGACCAATAGATAATTTTGAGCTAGTTTGCAAAAGCTGTTAATGAAAGAACTGTTTGCTCTAAGGCTAAAATGATGATGGGATTAATGAAAAAGCAATCTCCTGAAAGGAGGTGTGCAACAAATTTCCATAATACAAGCAGAGAGCTGACTACGTTCAAGGGGCTACAGTTTTATATTTTGTGTATTTTGTGTATGGATTTTTCTAAGGGTGAAATACTAATGAGAATTTAATTCAGAGGATATACACAGAATTGTATTATCAATATGTTATACAATATATGAAGAAGTCAGATATAGAATTCACTGAAATCATGTAAATAGGCTATGTTTTTGTGTTTTTCTAAGCATTTTCTGTTATGGCCTAAAAGCCAGTGGAATCTTCTGTAAAAATATAGAACACTACAGTATTGGAGGTGTACTATGATAACCCTAGCATGCTGACTGCATAAGGTACTGGAGTGTTATGCAGGATTTTAATGTGTAAAGAAATTGATCCCACTCCTTTCTACCTCCAAAAAATAAAAAAGCCTTTTTGTATTCACTATATTTTACCAAAGAGAAAATGAAGAGAAAAATGACCACAAAAATGGAAGGCTGGAGAAATATATGGTGAATATGAAACAATTATTAGATAAGTGAAAAATGCCTGTTCTAAGGACCATCAAAAAGAGTAGGTTATGGTAAGGAAAAGAGAACAGTAATACATATTAATCAGATTTGCTTCTTGCAGTAGCAGACTCTGACATTTATAACCCAAATGAGCACATGGAAATGATTCTAGATACAAACCATGCAAAATCAGTGCCCTTTACTGTGGCCATTACTGGATGTCTACTATCTATAACATACAAGCACACTCACAAAGGATTCTGACACTAGATAAAGGTTATTTTTTCACTCTATTCAGAGCAAAATCTGAATATTAGAAACTTTTTACCCCCAGGAGCTGTCTGGAAAGACATGAAGCATTCAACCTGCAGGTTAGATGTCCTGCCTTTTTCATTTTTGTCCGTAACACTCAATAGGAAGTCAGCCCACAATAAATCTAGCTTTCATCCTAAAGCTCTGCAAAGCAGTTATTACCCCTGCTTCACAGGTAAGGACTTAAGGCACAGAGAACCCATGGCCTACCTCCTCAAAAGGAATTCAAACACACGATCAGGATATACTCCATCCCCAGGGGTGTCCAAGGCTGAACGAAGCCCTGGGCAGCCTGATCTGGTATGTGGCAACCCTGCACAAGACAGTGGGTTGGAGCTTAATGATCTTTAAGGTCCCTTCCAACCCTTCCATTCTGTCATTATCTATCTGTGACTTTAATGTCTAAATTAGATGAAGGCCTAAGATCACACTGGAAGTTATCAAAATCAAACCTGGCCTAATGCGAAATTATCCTTCTCAAGAAAGGTCTGAAAACCTCAGCTTGAGAAACTGCATTGTATACAAGCTTAGGTTTAAAGATTATCTAATTTCATGAATAGATGCTCATGGTACAATACTGTTGCAGGAAAATGGAGTTTTTCCAGTCAAATCACAGAGAAAGAGTAAATGCACACAGTATAAGGACTATATGCATCCGTATATAGCTGACAGGGTTTGCTGTAGTGTTGTTCTTTTATATTTGTTGGGCTTGTACTTTCTTTAATGGAGCTATAGCAGCCAAAATGCTGTGTATGCAAATGGAGACAAGCAGGTAGCACTTGCACATGACAGCCAGTTCACAAGTAGACAACCCCAATCAGAAGCCACTACAATCAGTTCTAAGGAAATGGAAACAAGCTGCTGTGTGAAAAAATGCCTCTACTGCACGTTGTCCGGCAACTGCACAGGAGGAGCAGGCACTTCTATAGACTTCAGTGTCTCAAAGGCCTCTAGTTCCTGAATAAACAACTGCTGTAAATGCAATCTCATGCTCCCCTCAGAAAATCTATCTGCACCGCTCTGTACCACACCATATTCCGCGCACCTCAGATCAGCCGGGATGATCCCTGGTTTCCTATTTCAGCTTCCCAGACAGAGAGCATCTGTGGCTTGCAGCTGCTGGTTCTGCAATACAATATAACAGCCCATTATACGGGACTGACATTTCCACCATTCACTCTACTTTTAAAATCTTGCAGCAGAATTCGTGCAAAGACATTTCTTTGCTTGCATTGTGTCCCACAATTACCTGCTGCTGGGCCTATTCGGGCCCAGAGTTGCCCTGTGCCGTGTGAGGAGACTTTGGCACATCGGAGCACGCGAGGAGGGTGAGGAGCTGGGCTGGGTGCGAAGGGCAGGCACTGCGGTTTTCTCAAGCGAGCATTTGGAACAAGAAGAACGACAAAACAACTGGGAATTGCTGTATAGGCAGACTGAGCAGATTCTCAAAGCGTGAGAGAAGTCGTCCGGTTCCCAAGGACCTGCCCAGTGACTTGCCAGCAAGATGCTCCCTCAGAAGCACTTCAGGGGAACGCCGCTGCCCGGCCCGGCCCCGCCCAGCTGCCCTCAGCGCTCCCGCGCGCCCTCGGGCTCCGCCGTCCCCGCGGTGACGAGGCCGGGGAGGCCGCTGAATCCCGGGGCCAGCCGGCGGCAGGGAGCGCCGTCAGGGCTCTGCCCGCACGCTCTACCCCGCGCCGTCACGCCAGGCGCCGCAGGGGAGCGGCCCTGCCCGCGACACCGCGAACCGCGGGTGTCCCCGGGGCGAGACGGCCGCGCCTCCACACGCGGCTGCAGCAGCCTTCCCTCGGGGGCAGCGGGGAGGAGGCTGGGGAGGGGGGAGGCCGCGCCCCCGCAGCGGCTCTTCGCCCACCCGCGGTCGACGGCCCCGCTACCCCCGCCACGCCGCGCACACGGCGGCCCCGCCTGAGCGGCGGCCGCGGAGCCGGCAGCCGTACCGCGCATGCTCGGCAGCCGCCGCCATTTTGGTGGGGCCGGGAGTTATCCAGCGGGAGCGGCGGCGGCGGAGCTCGCTGGGCCCGGCTCGGAGGTGGCGGCGAGTGGGTGCCCGCTGCGGAGATGGCCAACATCGCGGTGCAGAGGATCAAGCGGGAGTTCAAGGAGGTGCTGAAGAGCGAGGAGGTCAGAGCCGCTCGCCGCCGCGCTCCGCCGCCACCCTCCCCGGCTGCACGGTGGGAGTGCGGGAGCGGGGAAAGGAGCGGGCGCCCGCCGGCCCGCGGGGGGCCTCGCTGCCCCTCGGCCCCACCTCCCCGCGCGGGGGGTGGGTGGGATCGTCCCGCGGCCTTGGGGAGGGGAATGGCGATCCTCGAGGAGAAGGGACCCGCCGGGAAGGGGAGAGAGGGGGGCGGCGGAGACCTTCCGCTGCGGGAGCCGGGGGAACGGAGCCGGCCCGCCGCAGGCCGGGCGGAAAGCCCCCCCGTCGCGGGGCGGCGAGCTGCCAGCCGGGCGGGTGGGGCCCGCCCCGGCCTCCTGCCCCGGCCTCCTGCCCCGGCCTCCTGCCCCGCCGCCCGCCCCTCGCGTCCCGCCGTCCGCGCAGCCGTCAGCCTTCGTCCTCCGGGCCGGGCTCCCGAGGGCCGGGGGTGATGGAAGGGGCTGGGGATTCCGCCGCCTCCAGCATCGCCTTCGTCTCGCTCCTCTGCTGCACAAGCCCGGGTTTTTAATATTTTTAATTTTTTGCAGGTAAACCTCTGTTTATCTAGGCTGTTTCATTGCAGGACTTCCATTATCCCGGTGTAGGTTCTCACCTTCAGCTGTGTGGCTTTAGAGCCTCCCTCATTTCTGTCTCCTTACCCAGTCTCCCTCGTTTTCACCTGCATCCTTCTGAAATGATGCACACCTGAGGGCATGGGTGCTCGGTAAGAATGGCCTGCTGCTCTCAGGGAGGTACTAAGGAAGTTCTGATCTGTTCAGGGGAGAATAGAGCAGCCTTTGAAACATCACATCGGTATGGCTCTTGCTGTACCCGTATCTGAGTTGGTGAACGTCAGCCAGATAGGATTTAATAGTTGTGTCGTCATCATCGTCCTACTTGGGATGATGTTGCAGGTTAGATGCTTGTGAAATATTAATGGGAGCGTATAACTCCTAAAGCTGGTGTTCTAGAAATCTGGACATGTTAGTGAGGAAAAGTTGAGAGGATGTCTTTCAAAATATATTAATGGTTTAGGGAAAATGTGTTTAGCGTAACAGTAGTTGATGTACTTTAAAATAAAGTTCACTAATAGCATTGTTGCTATATAGCTTGGATGAGTCCCTTGAAGGAACATACAGGCCTGGTTCTACAACTGCCTTAGAGCCCAGGCTGGACATAGCCAAGTTCTTGCACCGTGGTGACAGAATTGCATGTAAACTGAGAGAAAATTCTCAGTGAGTTTCTTCGTACCAAAGCTACCAATTCTAAATCCCATACCCTATATAACAGCTCATATTTGAAATTGAAGTCTAACAGCTTCAAGACATTTTCCCTTTGCCTTATTTAGGTGCAAAAGGGGAGGGAAATAAAACTTCCCTAGTTTTAGGGGGAGATCCATGCAGCTTTTTTTTTTATTTTACTGTAAAAGTTGGATCTGGAGAGCGCATTTTTCTCAGTTCTTGTTTCTTCATTCTGTGCGTTGAAGGGCTCAGCATAGAATGTTGTAAATAAATACTACTGTGAAATGCTCTCCTCTTTAAGCTGCATAAAACCCCACAAAGACCCTGATCCTTACAAATCTAAAATTACGAGATCTTAACATTAGAATGCATCACTTCGGTATTTTTTCCCCTGCCACTAGCTAGCCATGTTAGAGTGTCACATTGATGAAGTAATTTACATGGGATTGATGTTTAAGGATATACTAATTCTCCTACCATGAAGAGTGAATTTCAGCATTCATCAGCACCTGCAATTTAGACAACCACAGTGTATTTTGAATGTTTGTATGCTCAAAAGGTGGTCAGACTAGGGTATCAGTAGTGCCACTAATGTGAAAACACATGCAGTGAGTTGAGGAACGGAGGATGGAGATATAACTCATACAAATCAAAAAGGAAATAATTGTGTGTTTTTTTGCGTAATTTACATACTGTTATTAATCTTAAATCTTGTTCCTTTAAAAGAAAGAAAACACAAATGGTGATGCTAAATTTGTTACTTAGAAGTTTAAGTCCCTCTCTGATGGCAAAGTGAGTCATGTTATTTGCACTTCAGTTATTCTTCATTTGGTGCTTTGAGCTACACCTGAGCATGGAGAGCAGCCCCTGTTTCTCTGCAGATGCAGTAGGAGTGCAGACACCTGGGGAAGACTTGAGCACTCTTGGAAAGAATACAAGGGGTTTGCTCTCATCTTCCAGTACTCATCTTGGTACTGAAGTAAGGTGGTAGAACCAGAAATGTTTAAGGGGGAGAAGCTGGGTGGTATTTAACTTCTGCAGCTGGAAGCACCAGGTTCCACTTCTAAGTATTGCAGAAGAAGTAATTCTGAAAAGTGTGCTTATTCTTGCTATAGGTAAGGTTTAATATTTGTATGAATAAATATACTTAGTGCTTTCTGTTTGTGTGACATTGAATAGTATTTTTGGGAAACCAGTACAACAGCTTTCAGTCTTGTCTTGCTCTCTGGCTTGCAGGTAGGAGCTGAGGGATTTTTGATGTGGTAGGAGGGGTTGACAGAGCATTTTAAAATCTTCTCACACTTCAGTGTTTTTGCTTGTTTTTTTTTTTTTTTTTTTTTTTTTTTTTTTTAAGCCATTTCTGGCTTTTATTTTATAAGGTCTTGCATGTAATCTTTAGGAATGGGATAATGTAGAGATCCTTGCAGCTTTACATCTTTTGAGTTTATGAATAAGGTATGTGAGACTGACAATAATTTCCTTGTTGAGAGCTCTCTCCACAGTAGGAGGCTTTTTGCTGTCCTGTAGAAAAAGTTTTTAAAATTCTCAGATTGATGATGTCCTGCATATGCAACAAAAGTGAAGCTGCTAGTCTAGGTAATAACTTCACTAGTGGAATACATGTTAGAGGGTGCTGTATTGTGCCTGTATTAAAACTTAAAGTAGTAAACAGTAGTTAACTCATGCAGTGTTTTGAATCATAGTCTAGGCAAAGCATCAGTTGCTCTCTTTTTTCTTTTGTCATTTCACTAATTTATCTTGTTAGTTTCATAGATTAGTCTAAATTAAAATCCAAAGTAGGGAAACATATCCTAAATGAAAGTGTGAGGCTGCAGCTTGATGGAGAAACCAACAATTGGTGGAGGGAAAATAATAGCCTGATGTTTATCTTTCTTCTTGATGACGGGGAGGAGGCTTTGGTGAGGGTTAGCTGGTATTATTTCAGAATAGGGTTACTGGAATGCTAGCCAGATTCTTACGTTCTCTGTTTGTAAGCAGCTATCTTATGAGGGGAAGGATCTGGCATTTAGCAATGAGTGCTGAAAAAGAATTGTGTTCATTCATGGACTGGTGCTGGCAAGTGGTTGTAGTACATCAGGCACTTTAAAGTGTAAATATTTTTTCTTGTTTTAATATAGTATCACATGTTGTGCTTTAAGGAATGATGTTGTGCTGGCGGTGGAGGATTCAAGGTGAAGTTGACCATCCAATATCTTTAGCATGTTAGGAGCTTTCTAAGTCGAATGCTATTATGGAGTGAAATTGCTTCTCTGTGGTATTGAGGGTAACACTTTGGTAAACATGGTTTCCTCCTGGCAAGAAAAGAGTTGGTGGTATTTCTACCACAAGATGTTCCTCTTCCATGTATCAAAAGGCAGAGGTTTATCTGCGTAGAAGGTAAACACAGATAGAGCTGCAAATAAATTGAACTCGACTGTAGTTGCAGAATATGAGTATCTGCAAGAGCAGATATGTGCAGTAACAGTTAAAATTTGTAACTTGAGTCCCAAATAGTTTTCAAGTGGAAACAGTACGTTGATGGCAAAAATTTAGTTGCATCATTTCCAAAAGGAAGTCGATATTTGTTCTGGAGTCTGCTATGTGATTTTGTGATATAAAAGAGAAAAGGGAAGAGTAACAGTTGTGTGCCATACTGGGTCCCTCCTGAGGCAGCAAGTAGCTGTGGTTTTTGTTTCCTTCTAGTGGTCTTGGGATGCTTGGCAGTTTGTAAAATGCTAATGACTTCTTGTAATTGGGAAAGCTGTGAACTGAGTTTCAGGAAAACATCATTGCACCTGGTTTGCTCATACTTGAGCAGTCTTGGGTGCTAGAAACTGAATTCACTAAAATGGAAGCTTTTACTAGTAGTTGTGCTTCAGTGTCATTATAATGGCCTGATGAACACTTTGGATGTGTTTTTTTTCTTACCATTTATTATGTAGGACCAATGCAGATATATAAAAATGAAATGTTGTCTATTATGACTCCTGAGTCAGCAGCATAATATTTAAACACTACCATCTTTCTGCTCAGTAGGCCATTAAGAATTGGCCTATTGAGGTCAAATGTAGGTTTAGTAAGTGCAGAGTGTGAGTAGAGCTAGAGCGGGCCTAGTTAATTAAAGAAAAAGTGTAAAAATGAGAGCATCTAAAATGAGGTTGTATTGGTACAAATCTCTGGTTTGGCTCTCGGAAAACTTGCATATGGCCTCAGATCGGGGAGGAGGGAGGCATCAGTGCTTCAAGTGCAGGCTGTTTTGTAGACGGACGTGTGGAGACTGGAGAAATTCATGAGCTGACAGGAGCCTTGTGAAGTGAACTTTTAAGTGCCAAGTCCTGAATGTGGGAAGTAACGCTGCACATCAATGCATATGCTTGGGGACTGACTGGAGACAAAGCAAATTGGCAGAAAAAGACCTGTGGCAAAGAAGGCCAACTGCATACTGGGTTGTTTTAACACGAATGCTGTGAGAGGGATGAGGAAGTGGTTCTTCGCTTTCCCCTGCACTTGTGAGACCGTATCTGGAGTGCTGTACCCTGTTCTGGGAAATCCATTTATGTGCCAACCTGAGTCCAGTAGAATGCCATAAAGGAGGTTAAGGGACTGTAGTGTGTGATGTGAGACAAGGGCAGAAAGATGGCCACTTAAACCCACCACAGATACTTTACTGCAGAGGTGAATCATACTTATTTCATTAGTGCACAGGGGTAGGATGAGAAACAACAGGTAAGAGCTGGAACCTGAAAAAA